TGCGCTCGAAAAGCTCGAACTCTGCTCCTTTGGATAGAAATAGGATTAAGATGCTCGAGGTTAACCGAGAAAAGTGGAGAAAGCAACTGGATATCTGTAGTCTCGACGGAGAGAAACGTCCGCGAAGAAGCGTGTCACTAAAACTTTATAAGCAAGCCGGTTGGGAAATCCAAACAGACAGTGAGGGGCGTTGAAAAGAGGTCGCAGTACGGTAGATTTTACCTAAGAGAAAAGCCAGGAGATGAAAACGGTTACTCCAGCAGTTTTCTGATAAGAACAATGGTAAGCATAAGGGCTCAATGCGAAAGCAGACACTCTTACGAGATTCGACTGATTTTAATAACATTAAAAGGATTTTTTTGCGTGGCATATCAGCGAGGACTATTTCATATATACTATTACTTGCGAGACAACATCTTCAGCGAATATCTGTAAATTATTGATCGTGGCGCCAGCTTTTAAATCGACCATTTATTTGCCGTCCCACACGCTGGTACCGCGCGTCTGACAGCCTCTGTTACGGAAGTTGCATAATCTTTGGCCTCACTATAGCCAGCGCGTTACTCAGCTAGAAACCTGCCACAACGAGACCTATTCTACTTGACGTCCGACGTTGATTGCCGTCGTGGTTGTCACTCATTGTCAGATTATAGCTACGTCTTTACTCGCTTTCAGCGGCGGCATTCCGTCAGTTTCCTGCGATATTATCTATATACCAAATGAATTTACATCATTCCCTTTTTTATATAAGTATAATTTAATAAATAAATTTTGCTAACGTAAATATATTTTGCTAAAACTTACATTTTCGTGTTTTTCATCGTTCAAAAGATTTTTCTTCTCAACTTTTGAAAACGATTTCTTTGATTAAAATGTACACAGCGATAGTTTTTTTATTTTATAAGTAATTAAATGAAAGAGAATCAAAGGATTTCACAGTACGAGAACGAAATTTTATACTTCGTTTAATTTTAAACGGTTTCTAATTCTTTAATTAATTTTGAATTTCAAAGATTAGTTGCATAAATATTTACAATCAAATGTGGAAAAATTTCGCGAAAGACGTGATTAAAGCGTCTGTAAATAAAGTAAGCGCGTTTAATGAGATATAATTCTTTCTGAAATTCTCAGAGATATCCTCAATAACCATGGAATCAGACAACGCGTGCTTAATAACAAAAAAATGTATAGTTAATGATAGCATAACTTTTTTATAGTCAATTAATGCGAAGTGATTCGGGCGATTTATCGTTCACAAACAAGTCGTACGAATGCGAGCGTTGTGTGATAAATCCAACGTGATTAAGTTACCAACAACGAGATTTATAAGGGGAAACATAACGCACAATGTGCGGATAGATGAACGGCACATAAATGCCGTAAATTTATCGAGATAAATGTAAATATTATGAATCTTGCTAGCGCGTTGCTGCGTGGGATCTGTTGTGGTGCTCGCATTTCCTATTTTTTACGAACTCAGATTTTTATGACATTACAATGTATTTTAATAAAAATAATTCCCTTGGGAACTGTATTAGAAATAGCGAGATTAACAACGTATTTTCAATGCTTGAAAAGACTCGAATGTAGATTAACATATATAATAGACTGCGCGTTATATTTTGCCAACGAAATGAATTTCTCTTGAAAAAGAAGCATCTTTATTTAAAGTTGAATCGCCCTCGATGTATTATAAGTTGAAAAACCACGTTTCTATGAAACGTTGAATTATTGTGTGTATGTAATCAATGTTCTAATTATGTTGTACCATTTAAGTTTGTTAATTTGCATAAGATTTTTCCTTATTTGGTTTCTCAGTTTACACAGTCGTTCCTGAACTCATTTTATTGTCAGTGTATAGTCGTTACCGTCGTTTGTGCGCATGTTTCCGCCATTACAATTAAAATATTTCAACTTCACACCTAAAACCTTTAAAACTTTTCAGCTTTATTTCAAGTTGCCACATTACTCGATATGGTGCGCTATACTCGCGTGAAGTATTCACGAGGAACAATTGGCACGCGATGTCCTGCAATTAACACACATTCAAGAGACAAGATTTCGCACTTTAACAAATTCTTGTAATAACTTCTGAGTTGCAATTTTAGCAATGTAATTTATGTAATTTTAAAGAGAGTAGGAATAAAATATATATGAATTATTAGAATAATTAATTTATTTTATTATATACATAATTTGACTTACAATTTTTCTTTCGCAATGGACAAAAATTTAAATAAGTAATTGATGATTTTAGCCAATCACAAATAAATTTTTATTTGTCATGAATGGTTAGAAAAACACGAAAATATTATTCATTATTCGAGATTATTTTTGTTAGTTTTAAATAAATAAATACGTTCATCATATAGAATTTGATAGTCCTATTTTTAATCGCGCTCTTTTCTGGTTAAATTAAAGGCAGTGATTAAGGCAGGAATCTTTTTTTCTTTGGTCATAAGATCTTTTTCCCATGCATTTTTACGGTTTTCAATATAAATCCACGACAATCGGTTGTGCAACAAGATTGTTTTAAATTAATGAAATTCCAGGCAGTGGATAAGAGAGACAAACTAGCTGAAACGAAACTGAGAAGAGAAGAGAGCAATCTGGACCAAACTGCAGCAGGTTCTCCAATATTTCATTAAAATTATTTGGAAAACCTGCAATAAAAAAGTCGATCACGGCTGCTCGGTACGAAGCCCGCTTTTATCGATAAATTGGCGCTCGTTTTACTTCCTTCTTGCTTGCGCGCTTTCTCTTTTATTTTTTCGTAGCACTCTCTCCAATTCGTGATAGCTTTCAGCTTGTTCCCGATGTATAACTACCACTTGTTATATTTCTAAATTGCGTGATTTAATTCCTTTAATATTCAAGAGCGAACAAATGTGGATGAATAATAAAAACTTATTTTTACATACTTCTCATTTTTAATTTGCAACAAATATTACAAAAAGACTTTATAATTTTATGAAGTAATTTAATTATGAGAAACGATACGGAAATTATATTTTCCAGCTAACTCATCCGTGATTAATAACAGCCCGAAATTTGATAAATTGGCCTATTTTAAAATATTATTTTTTTCCTAGGTATTCACGTCGTCATTCACAGTCACGTAGGAAAAACTTATGAAAAATTCAGGTCTCTTCTTTATTAAATAGAGACTCAGGACAGAAAGGATTTAACGTAGCGACTTCCTTTCTCTTAATCCCGTTCGCGGGAATAGGAAAAGTAGCTCCGTCGATGAGACCGGTCGAAGAGTCGGTTGCGTCGCGGCATTAATCAAGGTAGCTGCGAAATGGGGGAGAGAGGTAAAGTGAGGCGAACGGGGTGGCCTCGTGACATCGGGGATGTCCTGCGGGAGAATTAAAAAGCAGAAAAAAATTTGCTGCATCCCTCGTGCGCGCACAAGACTCGTTCGCATTCTGTACGAGACTTCTTCCACGCAATCGCTTCCAACAAATCCTTTTTATGCAAATTTGCGCGTGTCCTTCTTCTCGAGTAGAGCAGTCCTTCATGTTTTTCTGCAACAGCATCAATCGTCCACTTCGATCGCTGGGACTGTCCTCCTCGAGATTCTTTACGGCGTTTGCTACCGAGCTTACTCATTTTGCATTAAAGTTAATAAAGCAGCTGCTTGAGCACGCTTAACTTCGTTATTTCATTCAGGCAATTTGTCTTCAAATGGACGAGACAAAACGACGACAATGACGACAACGACGATGGTACTGCTCTTTGATGTAATTATTGTGGGATTGTGGGAATAAAAGTGAGAAGTGAACCTTTTACATGGCTATTTCATTTTCCAAGGGGATGTCTTTTTTGTTGTTACGTTACGAGCAATGTAGAGATATCCGTGCTGTCTCGATAGTTTTCCCAAAGGTATTTCTTGTTTCGTAACATTTTTCCGTGAATTTACTATCGAATCGCGATTTATGTGGTATAAGTGTACCTTCGTAAAATAACGAATTCGGTATGTTACTTGCGCAACACGACAATAATTTTGCAATGCAAATTTAAATTTATGCAGAAATTTAACTATATTTTTTATAGTTATCCCAAAATATAACTATAAAATTATAGTTACTTGAATCATTTTAATGGTAATTTCAATTATTTTATGGTTATAATAATTATTACTATAATTATAATCATTTTAGGTTGCCAATTATATACATTTGTTGTTAGAACTATATACATAGTTACTGTTATTATTATTATAGCAGTAATAATCCTAATTATAGTAATATGTAATTATAGTTATAAATATTAAACATTTTTCCCTTAGTGAAAACTGTTTCTAGAATAATTTTCAACATTAAGCTACGGAATCTGCTATCAAAATGTTGCCAATAGGTCCGGTTTTTGAGATATAACAAGACATTTTTGTCTAAAAATGTAAACAAATATAAATTATTTAAATTAGAAAATGAATAAAAAATGTTGAACGCTTAATTTTTGTTTTTTTATATAAATTTGAGTCAATTTCACGTATTAGAGTCAAACAATAATCTCGTACATTTTCGTCCTAATATTACTAATAATGTTTTTCAATTATCATCAAATCCTGATAGAAATGTTCAACTTGTTTATCACTTCTCGTATCCAAATTATTTAGAAAGAAATGCTATATTTTAAAAATTATTATATTATAATTATTAAAATAACATGTTATATCTAACATTAATATATCTTCAAAATTTGACTTGATTGAATTTTTCTGATGGCATATTCGAACTCAGCATAATACGTTAAAAAACTGTTGTTTTCTTACTTTAAAAATTATTCAAAATTTATAAATTAGTGTTTTAATTTGTCTTTCAAATTTAGAGCTAAACTCGTTAATACATGTGTATTTACAATGAGACTTATAAAAATTTATAGTTCCTTAAACTAGCTCTTAACTATAAAAATTTTTTATTTGATATCATTTATTAGTTTTATACTTTTTTCAAGCTAACTCATTCATGTGAAATCATACAAATGTTTTTACGTACCAAAGGGACGTGCAGCTTCCTATTCAGCTCAATTTGATGCTCCGACGATCGATCTCCGATTCTTTCGTCTGAAAAGTGAACGATGACAAATCAGTTTTGCATCGCATTTCGCTGTTCTGTGACATGCAAATTTATCGGAAAGATCTGTCGAAAGAATCAAACGTCAGTGCGTAACGCGATTTACTATTGTTACTATTCTACAAATCTTTTCTTCACTCGTCTCCGCCAATCTAAATACAGATATTTATATTTAAAGTGTTGATTTTACGACAGATCTTTCAGTAGTAACTCTTTGTTCGCCTTTCGTTCTCGCAAGATATGGTTTGCGAGAATTATTCGGAAAGAAAAAGGTATCGAATTGCGACTAACGTAAATCGCTTCATAAATTCTGTAAAGTCAAGGCGAGCCGTAAGATCAAGGCTCGAGAAGATTGGGGTGGTGCGCAACAGTGCTTACATATTGAGAACTCTCCACGGATGGGAGGGAATCTTGTATCTCCCCGCAGCTATGAATAATTATTCCACGATACATGATCCACTGCAGCATAACGTAATAACATAGTAAATACCTGGAAACTCTTTGGGGGAATGCACGTAAGGTAAGCAATATGCACAAGATAATTCGATTAATGTTTGCGCTAATGCAAGAACAGAGTGCAATTCTCTTTTCTAAATTCTGATTCAAAAGCTTTTATTATAGTTTCGCAATCGTTCAAGATATCAATACGATCCTACTTGAATGAGATCTTCATCGTGAAATTCTATGAAAAGCGCCCGTTCTAAAGTTGGTACGTTCTTATGCATTCTACATTTAAATGAAAATAGAGGGGATCAGAATCTCTCTATCAGAATCAGTACTGAATACTTATCATTTCTATTCCGATCATTTCATAAAGATTTCATTATAGATAATATCGCAAACATTGGTCTGGGATCATCGGCTTTTTTTGTAATCAATATTTATGACAAAACATAAACTTCTTCTTTGATGAGTGTATGAAATATTGAACTTTTGCTTTCACTACATAATTTATAACTTATGACTTTACGCGATTTATCTTAGTTTCTCAATCTTTTGAAGATTGAAGGTGAGTATATAGTTATTAAATGTTGAAGCGTCCAGTTTCTCGATCGATGCAATAATTATTTCTAAGAAATAAACTTTTTGATATATCAGAAACTTTTTAACAAGTGATCTACTTTTAAATCTAAAATAAAACATTCTTCGTTAAATATTCTTTAAATGTATAATAGGAAGATTAAATTAAAAAATAAAAGTTTGGTTTTTTCAAAGCAATAAAACGTAATTTAAGAATCAAAATGAACACCAAAGAATGTTGATAATAGTTTATTCATTCAAACAAGAGAAATAATAACGTGGTACGTTTTGATTATATTTAGTCTTTACCAGCTAAAATGAATAATTAAAATAAATATAACAAATGATACAATGAATAAGAAGATTAATATAAATGCTAATTTTTTTTGCAATATATATTTGAATAAAAAAATAAGGATTAAATATGAAGATATATATATATATATATA